ATGAGGTGGAACTCTGCCCTCTAATGTAGAAAGCAAGCAGAAACAAAGGTGGTTTGTTTTCATTTTTTGGTTAATTAACTTTGTCTTCTGGGAATAACAACGAGTCTTCAATTTAAAAGATGCAACAAAGAGCAAAAATGTGTATAAATAAAGAATCTCAAAGAATGAAAGGGAAGACTAAAAAGAAGTACACTTTTTAAAAGATAACTATGTTATATTAACTAATTTTATTGAAATTATAGTAAAGGCTGACATCTGTTCTAGAAGGCCTAACAACTACCACTTCTTCAGAACAAGTACAAAGGCTAAGGCAAAATATTTTTATAGAAGACCCATTCCATGTCAGCTTACTGCAGGATGACATTCATCTCTTTTTGAAGATTTCATTACTGATCATTATCTTCATATTGGACTACAGGTTCGAATCATCAAAGACATTCCTGACTTTCCATTTGTTAAATGCATTGTCTGCAGGAAAAAACGGAGAAGCATACTTTAAACAGATTAAGAATATTCTGGTGATTTTTTTCAGTTAACATGGAGTAAAAAAAAAAAAATTAATTCTACTCATGTAGTACACTTGAAAATCTTTAACTTGAAATTTGAAGAATACATACATGTAAATGTTTTTTCCAACTTGATGCTGTTTTCTCTACTGTATTCTATACAAAAACTTCTTCAGGGTGAGGCCATACAAAGTTCATCTGATAGTACTGACTGAGGCTCATTACAAATGTGGCTTGTTGCACACAGGAAATACTGCTCAGAGCATAAATCAGATCAACACATCTCCCTGCAACTGTTTATTTAGATGTTCCCTCAAGGCTAGAGCTCAGTGCTCAATTACTCCCACTAATGAAATAAGGGAAGAAGGCCAAATGGTAAATGACTGGAAGTTCTCTCTTTATAAAATAACAGAATGCAAAAGAAAGAACACCAAAATACCATAATCCTCAAAGGGGTGTACCAGGCAAACCAAGGTTTGCTGGACAGGGGCATATACAAAACTGTCCTCAAGTCAAGCTTATGCAATCAAAGCTTATGTAACAGTCCTCTGATATATTCCTAGGGCTCCTCCTCTGTGTAACTCCTCTTTTCCATCAATTCCCAAGCTCTCTGCTCTCTGAGAACTGGAGTTTCCATCCGAGGTGGGTCATTATGCTACTCACAGAAAATGCCTCCATTGCGCTCTCTCTTTGTCACTCCAGCTGGAGCCTTTTCACACGGACAAAATTCCCTTACATTTTTATTGCATAGGATGTGATTATTTCTTGGTTCTGCAGGCTTACAGATATAATAAAAGGTGACAATAGCTGGACATTAAAATAGACCCTGTTGCAAACTTATGGATCTCATAGCCACATGACTTTTTTCAACCCCTCATTTAAAAGCTTTAAATTAAATTTACATTTCAGTTTTTACAGAAGATGGGGATGATGAGGTGCTGCAGAGAGCATCTTAATAAAGCTGGCATGGTATTAATTGTCATTCTTTTCCAGCTAAATATTCACTAATGATAATGACTCATTTTGCCTCATTATTTTTCTAGTTAAGGGCTTTATATTGTCAAGGGTTTTAATCTTCCTTCTTTGCCTATATTTCTAATCCACCAAGGTCTTTGTCTTCACCCTTCCTTTATTCAAAGCCAGAAAAGTTTTCCCTACCCTTGTTCTCTTAGGAACAAGCTATTTGTGGTTTAGCCCAGCATTTTTGTGTTCAATCATCTTTCTTTTCTTTGTTGTCAACCCTTTAAAGATGTTCGTCTTGCTTTTCTGTAATTCATAGCTTCTCAAAAAGTCTAATCAATTTATACCTTCCCCACAGGTTCAGATCCAGCTTACAGTGCTGGCTGTTTGAAATTCACAGTAATAGGTGTTGCATTTTTGATAACACATTTACTGGTGTGTTAGCCAGGGTGATTTATAAAGGGTGCATGGGAGGATTTGATTTTTTGCCATCCTTAACAGAGATGAATTAGGTGAAATATTTCTCAATCAAAAGCTGCCACACAAAGCTTGACTTCAACCACAGCATAAGCTCATTCAAATGGGATCTCTGAGCTTGAGGCATGCCACAAAATACAGCACTGCAGCAGAGGGATCCTCCCAAGGCAGCCTGTAGCCACACAGTGGGAAAAGGCTTTTCAGACTACTGGAAACTGCTAAAACATTAAGCTGTCCACAATGAGAGCAAGAAATCTATGCTGCTCTCAGTAGACATTGATTTGCTTAGGTTAGTTCCTACATGGAGGGTTTGTGGGCAAACCATTTTCTCATTTAGCTCTAGCTGGAGTAAAAACTCCTCCAAGCAATATCAATCAGGCAGCCCTGGAGTTTTGAGCACGAAGGCATTTTGTGCCTCAAATTCAGCAGCCCTTCTAGGACAGGAATCAGAAAGGGTTATTCATTGAAACAATTTGGTAGGCATATTCAGTTTCCCTTCTAAGGAAGGACTCCCCTGACATGAGCTGTTAAGGTCAGTGCTGCAGTACCCACAGCCTTACTGATGCTTCAGGTTGGCCAAGAGCTGCTGCTCCACTGCTCCAGAGCTTCCATCTGCTCCCTCACACTGAACTCCAACATTTCATTTCCCTGTGCTTACAAGAGCATTTGGCCTTTGAGCTGGTGGTGATTATCAGCACTCCAAAGTTACAGTAAGAGAATATGGCCTTCTTTCCCTCCATTTCTAGTATCTGCTCAAGGACCCCAGGAGATGCAGACAGGGAGAGGTGAGAACAGAGGAGCAGGAGCAGCAGTGAAGATGAATTTCCAGCAGAGGTCACGAGAACTCCCACATCTTCTGTGACCTTCATTAGAGAGAATGTGTGACTATAAGGTCTTTTCTTTCAGAGTCAGTGCTAGCTAACACTGATCCTTAAATCAGAAATCAGAGAAGCCTGAAATAAAAATCTTTATCCCTACCAATAAGCATTTATACAAAACCACCAGTGACTTTCTAATCTGCATGTTTTCATGGTCATATTCATTTTCATAGTCATATTCATAGTAATTTCAGAGCTATATTATATTGTTAGGGCTCTGCCTACAGGAAAAAATCCCCTCACTTAGGATGTAGACTGGCATGAAAGCCCTAAAGCAGATGAAAAAAAATCCTTTAGCCTGCAGTCAGCAATATACAGTCCTAGCAGAAATTTCAGCACCCAATGACCTTTGCTAAACTCAGCCAGAACATTTTTAAATGATTATTACTGAGTTGTTTCCTTCTATTCCTGCCCGAAAGGCAGAAAACCCTAACACAGGTGTTTCTCTTTCAATAAGTGTCTGAGCCAAAGTGTGCCTAGGTATTTTCCAGCTTCTACAGCTGGAAATGCTGATATCATATTCCAGGTAACTGTCTGTCTGCAGCCAACTCACATAAGATATATGATTGCCTTATACTTCAATATTTGTAAAAATATCCATGAGAGTGTCTTTCCACAATACTGCCAACACTAACAAACACTTACTGAATAGAATAAATTTCCTTTTATTATGTGACACTGTAATAATTGATTAGCTGTTAATGTGAAGGTGCATAAGATGATTGATTTTATTTTGCAAAAATGTATGCCACTCTCTCTTCTTAATTGGGAATGACTTAATTTCTGCACATCATCTCACAGAGCACCTCAGTGAAATGATTGCAACAGCCCACTTTTAACAAGGCTGAAGTTATCCATCCTTGAATATGGGAAACTGGCTACAATCTGAAATTCCTTGGCCTTGAGGATCTATTTTTTGTTACCATTTATTAGAATGAGCATAACCACTTTTACTGTAGCACCTGGAGCTACTCGAGTGCAGGAAGTCTAATAAAACCCCTGAGGAAAAGACACTGCACGTGCACACAATCAGAAAATCTTAGTACTGTCTGGGATCTTTGAATAGAAATATAAGAATCCTACTGGGAGCCCTAAGGGAAATTAAGGCAGTGCAGTCTCAGGCAGAAAAGACACTTCTCCTTTGTAGAAGTAATTGATATTTCATTTAAAAAAAAATTAATTTTAGAAACTTCTATTAAGAGAAAGTCCCCTCATAATTATCAGTTATCTGTGCAAGACAATAAAAAGAGTTCTCTCTACAGATTCCTTTTTAGGGGGCTACCATAAACTCCCTCTTGGAGCCAGACTCGCAGACAATTTATCTGGAAGCTTACTTTAAATTTAAAGCTAATGAAAGGCCTGGGATCCTCAGGTTTACCAAGTAAGTTGTTCAACAATTCTGGAAACTCAGATTCTGAGGTTGCTTATAAAATCTGCTGCCCAGGAATTAGGACATGGTAAATGTTACATTTTCTACCTCCATAGTGTTTACATGATGGAATACTCTCCATCACTGAGGTCAGGATTCTCAGCTGGATAAGGAAAGCAGGTGGCAGGAAAGTTCCCAAGTGCAGGAGCCATGCCCAAACTTTGTGACAGCTTTGGCAAAGTGAATAATTCTTTGTCACATATACTTGCAAATAAGCATGCATAGTACTGAAATGTAAACATTTCGTAGTAAACCTGCACTCCTAAGGGCCTTGCTGCAAAAGTCCCTAATAAATAACTTTCCAAAGGCCAGACAAAATTCTTTTCAAGAATTCAATCAATCATCCAAGAACCACCCCACAAAAATTACCTTTCCTTTGATCTGTACATTCCTAAAGTTTTCCCTGGATATAAGAAGAAAATATGTATGCAGCCAGGAAGCATATGTAATATCTGACAATGCAACAAAGTTCCACAGTTATTCCTCAACAAATTTGAGAACTTTAATCTGCTTTCAAGAAGCTTCCTTCCTGGTTGATTACATTTATTTTCATTTCCCTCCCAAATAAAAATTTCAACACTACTGATAACCAGTAATCACTGGTCACTGTTCCTACCCGGGTTTACTTAGGTGTGTTAGAATTTATGTCTCTCTGGTAATTAGTTTTAAATCATATTAATTCATATTCATATAAAATTCATTAAAAATCATCTACATAATTGGAATAATTCTTCTCTCTCTTTTCCCCCCAGAGTTCTTAATTATGCGTCATATTTTCTGGTGAATGGCCACTAGAGAGGAGATAAAGCATCCATTACAGTTTTTGGAACTAAGGATAATTATTCAATGAAACCAAGTGAGTACGAGAGAGGGAAATGGTTTAATGGTCTGCTTGTTAAGGAGTGACAAAAGTTGATAGCCTCAGAGAAATGGCCCAAAATCAATCCTTAGAATTAGGGGAAAACTCTATTGCAGGCGAAATCTCTGAGAAGTTGCAGATGTGAGAGATATCAATCTCCTGGGCTATGTGTGCTTGTGCAAGTGCTCAGTGAGTACTTGAAAATAGACATTTTCAAATCAAAAAGAAAGCTACTATCAAATAAAAAAGAAAGACTGTTTCAGTATATATGCATGCGTGTGTGTATATATATGTGTGTGTGCGTGTGTATATTTCTTGATATTGGTTCTAGGGCAAGAACACCCCTTAACTTACTCTCCTCTCTCCTTATGAGATATTATTGGGATGAATTTTGAGATTTCTCCTGTAAGCTTTAAGTGATGTAGAGTGTTGAATAAATTCTTATGGAATAGATGTCCTTTAGGCAAATCCTAACTAGCCACTCTTACAAAGTGTCATTGTTTCATTATCCTGATTCCCTAGAAACAAGGGCTACCATCAAAGCTTGGAAAGCCTCTAGCAAGGTACAGAGGCTCTTCTAAAGAAACAAGAGCTGACTGCATGCAATGAAGGCACAATAAAGTTGGGTGTTTTGTTATTTTTTTCCTGATTCGGTATTTTTCTACATTAGGAAATGAGAGAGAATAGAGAATTTTTCAGCAAACCAAAAGGAGTGAAATCTCAATATGTCTTGCAGCACCACCCTATGTATCTTGTCAGTAACATGACTTTACTTTAAATGATGGCTAAAATATATTGTTTGCCGGGCCCCTTGATTTGTTAAACCATAATCATGAAATTGAATTACAGGACAGGAACGATAATAATAGATGAAACTATTATGTGTCATAGAGAGGCAATTTAGCTGTAGCTAATGATCTTTACTAATGGGATAAGATATACTGCCACATGTGCCTTGACGACCATCATCAGATAAAACAGACTAATCCATCAAGCAAACCTTTAAGGCAGTGTTTAATTTGAGAGGTGAAAGAAATAAAATTGGACTTTGGAGGACATCACAAATTCCATCCATGTAAGGAGATAGAATATTGATCTAATGAACTACATGAAGTCTAGACTATATCATTTACCTGGAGCCTGGAGCAACTGGATGCACACACATGCATAACCAAAAGGTTGGTGGAGTATAAATTAACTTTTCTCACTCAAAAGCAATATGGTGCTCCATATAAACTGGAATATGATTATGTCCTGGCTACAGATTATACATCACACATTAATAGCAGAGTTTCTACTTCATGCTGTATGTCTTAAAGAACCTGGGCAATGGTGCCTTGCATTTGCCCCTGCCAGGGACTTAACAATACAGAAAAAAGTCAGAGGTTTTTGTTGTTTCTGTGCTCTCTTCACTAGGTAATTTCCCTATTATTAACGGCATCCATTTTCATTCTCCACCATGCTCCTTGTGAAGGAATTCTTTGGGCAGCTCTGTCCAAAGGCAGCAGAGGTTACTCTTGGGCCACTCACACCAATCTGGTTACGGCTGATAGCAAAGAGTTGACTGGATTATTTTCATGATGAGTATCCCCATGCACCAAGACAAGAAGGCATTTAATTTGTTATCCAAAAGAGAAATTCCTGTGCCTAATTGTGTGTGGGATATATGTAGATATTTATTCCTAAAGTCTCTGAATGGCATCTAAAACAATTGCAGTTCATTTGCAGCAGCTTGAGAGAAGAAAATGCCAATAGGCAGAAGTGACATTTATAAATACTGACTAAACAAACAATGTAAAAACAGAATAACCCTCAAATCCCCATGCCTTCCCTCTCCTTCTCAAAGGGACTCCTGCACTTCCTTCAACCTTTAAAAGGAAGACAGCAAAACCAAGTGGGAATAATCTAGTCTTGAAATTTTAACTAACTGTATTATTGAGTTTTCTGCTTGACAGGTGTTGACCTATATTTAGGACCTGTATATAAATCTGAGTAAAAATGGCTAATAATAACTGTGTGCTGTGTTGTGTGTGCTTTGTTTCCCATTCCCCAGCATAGCATGGATTCCATGTGTTTTGAGTATTGATGAAAACTGTATTGATTGAGGAGGTTTAAGAAGCAGGCTTTCATTCTTAGAATAATGGTAAATCTCATATAGGCTCTCTGCAAATTTCAGAGGATTTGCATGAGGCTGAGCCAATTATCTAACATTCAGCCAGCAGAATGTCAGGGAAAGCCAATCTGAGTTAATACAGACAGTTCAGTTTTGAGTCAGAGACTGCAGAGTTTCAGAGAGGTAGGAACATAATTCTGCCTCTGATTAAACACAATGTGATGTGCCAGGAAATTCAGAAGACAAATTACTGAATCAGTCAAGGAACAGCAGATATAGTAGCAGTCCTGTTTTCTTTGTGCATTTTGGCCTTGTTTTCTGTACACTGTATCAAACATGGTATTAATCTAAAGAAAATCCTTAATTTGTTATGGATTTCCACTTTAAGTCTGCTATCTGGCATAAGTGTTATCTTAAACCGATTATGTCTTACGCTTGGATTTAATGTAGTAAAAAACACATGAGATAATTCTACCAATTACTTCTTGCAACTTTTAGTTGTATGTGTGAGAAAAAGAGCAACATGGGCAGGTGGCTATTTTAAATGTTTGAAAAATTCCGTTCATTCTGGTAGGGAAATCTGTGGAATTTCATTCTAAGCAGACTTTAAATGCTCTTGTCTTCTCTGTCAATCTGGTGGTGTAATATGAATAAATGTTTAGCCATATTAAATGAAAATAGAAAACTCTTGACTGGAAAGCAGTGCATGGTTGGTACCATGGACAAAAATATGAGGTCTAAACCAAAGGCAGGTGCTTCAGACAGTAAGCAATCTGGATATAAAATTAGCTCTGCTGGAACCAATATTCACAGGTATTTTAGAGACACTGAACTTTCTATATAAAACAGGAAAAAAATTGCAGCAGGGAATCTGCCCCACAGAGGAAGTTAGAAAATGAAATGTCAGATCTGCAATTCTCATGAGATGCCTTGGCAGCATATCTAAAACTAACTTCTCATAATAAAAACTAACAATAAAAAAACCCCAACAGAACCTGGCAGAAACACATTCTGTTTAAACAAAAAGGCAAAAAGACTTAATAAAAATTTTTTGACCAGCCTGATTTTCATTGCTAACTACATAAACAGTACTCAGCTGCTTGTTTTTTTTAGGACCAAAGCAGCATTAACTAAGTTATTGGGAAATACCCATAACAGACATACTGATAACATGTTTTAACAGGAAGTCCCCAGGGAACTTGGATGCCTTGTTTTATTCATGTTCAACCAATGGAGATTGCACAGACATTTTAAAGTTTTTTTTTAAACTGTTATACTCTACTATTTGTGCATTTTCCATGTCAAAACAATGTCAACAACTACATGCTAAGTTTAATTAAATATTTGTTACTTTCTCCTTTTTTTTTGAATACTGAAAGAGTCATTCCCTTCATAAAGACAGTCTTAAAAAGAATAATTTTAGACTGAGGTGCCCAGATCAGGGTTATTGTCAGATCTCCTAACAAGTGAATGTTTTGTCTTGCTGGCATTCCTAGGCTTGGAAATCTTCATCAGGAGTATATTTTTCACTGTCTACCATGAATCAAAACTCCTCTGTCCATGGAGAGGATGTGTGACAAAGTGATTGCTTCAAAATGGTCAGTTGAAATAGAGAACTCTATAGTGAATAAATTTAAGCGTTTAATGAAAAACTTAGTTATGATTGAGTGTATTCATAGCACTTGAAACTCTGGAGAAGGTGAAGAGTTGCACTCTGTTCCAGCAGCTGCTTGGGCAATCCTCTCCAAAATCAGCCATACACAGTCAGTGTAATCTGGCCTGGAGAGCCTATGGTACGGGGCAGACACACAAAGAAACTTTTCTCCAAATATTCAATAGCGTGGCACTGCTTTGGGACATCCAAAACTTTCAGCCTTGCCCTAAGGAAGTTATTTTTGAGTCACATGATTTTAGAATAAATTTTAGTATGATTTAAAATACCTCACTATGAACAATTCTCTTAAATTAAAAAAAAATTTCCATAATTTTGTTGTCAACCTGCATTTACCTGTTCTAATATATTGAACAAATAATTTCAAGAGTGTCAAAATTTATAAAATGATCCTATATTTTCTCTTGCTTTCATTCTACCTTTTTCCTTCGGTCAGGATTGTTATGATAAGATTCTATGGGCAGCCTGATGCGCCATTTAGAAACCTTGTCAGAAGCTCTGCTATGGCAAGCTGGATAATACATGACAAGATCAATCCATGTAAAACAATTCTGCAAGTTGTTAGACTGCAAATCAATGCGTGAGGGACAGGAGTCCTTCTAAAGAAATTTTGCCCCGTGGGGAAGATCTGTGAAAGCCTCCTGATATGAAAGAAGCATTCTGTTTGTTCCTCTGTGAAGGGGACATCTAATTAGTGTGCTGCCATGAAGAGTATCAGAGGTTACACTCTCTCCTCAGGGAGATCCTCTATGATTAAATACAAGTTTTCATTTAGGTTGCTTCTGTCAAGGGGTCAGGAAGGCAAAAAGAAAAACTGACTCACCCACAGCATTTGCATGTTAATTGTCAAGCTTCTTAGCTGCTCAGATGTGGCTAAGCGCCTGACCTACTGATATGTGGGCAAGAAATGTGAAGCCTTTGAGCTGAATTCTTTCTTTTTTTTTAAGATAATAAAAGACCATTGTGGCATTATCAACCATGGGAGGGCTGCTGGAGAATTGCAGAGAAGAGGAATATGGCCTCTCAGACAAGACATCAGCCAACAAGCCATCAAACCGCAAAATTAGCTTCTGTTTGTTTTTCCACTTGCTGACAATGTCTTTGGGCATCTAGGAGATAAAATATCATTAAAAAAACCTGCAAGAAATAGATTTCCTCAACATGCAATCAAATACCCTCTCCACTGCAAATATTTCTTAAGCCTGACTTGGAGCTTTTCAGCTCTGTAGCTGATTTACAGAGTGTGTACACCCACACTAAGTTTAGTCACTAGACTCCATATGAGAAGCTGAAACTCATTTGCTGACTGAAAATTTGCCGCAAAGCAGAAAACAACAGGAAATTCATCAAACACCTCTCATAAGGACACAAATTGCTTAAAGGTGACTTTCCAGTCATTCTGGAAACATTTAAGAATATTACTCTTTCTTTTCCCTGCATAAAAAAGTGCTTAAACCCATTGATCTGAGTGCAAGAGGCAAACTCATTTCTCTCCCCACTTGCTTTTACTTTAAAATATTAGGCAGGCAAGAAAATATCCTCTTTCAGACCCTTGGAATATTTTTTGGCCTGTGACACTTCAAGCAAGTGTTTGATAGAATTAAATCTTTCAACGCAACTCTGCTATGGAAAGGTTTTATACCATTAGAGATACAGTTTATATAAACCAACAAAACCTCCAGTGCCCAGCTGAGTGCCTCATGGCACATGGATAATTCTACAACAAGTGCAGATTTTTCCAGGTCAGGGCATGACTATTACCTCTGTTTAGCCTGCTGCATTGTCAGGTGGTTCCAGTGTGCCCCGTTGCATACTAAAGGGTGATGACTGCCACATTTGATAGACTAAGAAGAGGATTGTCAGTGGTTTTCTGACTGTAGTTGTTTTGGGGACATGGGTGGTTTTTATTGGGATTTCTGAACCAAGGCAGTGGGGGAAAGGAAGGGACAAACTGGGATACAAAGTCCTTAGGTGACATAATAATTAATTTGAAATTTGACTTTGGGAGGCCCGTAGAAGATACATTGCAGATACCACCACACATGCCAGGCCATAAATTATTTTCTAGTGCTCAATTTTGAGATTGAAAGGAAAAAATTGCAAAAATTCTGAGTAAATGGTGGTGAAGAATAATTAGGATCACAAATTTTGGTAATTTCTACAGCCTCTTGTGTAGTAAGGGAATAGCAGAGTGAAACTGCCATAGATTCAACAAAGCATGTGCAGTTTCAGGCTGCAGAACAAAGGACAGAAAAGGCCTGGGATTTCTCTAATATTAGTTTTCTCTAAATTTCCCCCTAAGAGTTTTGAAAGAATGGGAACATGAAGAACTGATGGTTCTGACTCAACTTCAATGCGCAGAGAAGTTCCAAGACTTTCACATTCTCAGTGGTATATCATGTTTGTTTTTTACATTTAATTTTTTCCTTAAAAAAACTCCAAAACATTCACATTTGGTTAAATATTTGGTTTTACAGTATATCTATTCATAAATAAAAGGATATGAAAATAACAGAATAAGAACATCTGGATTTTTTACTAGCACTACAGAAGAGTTCTATTAAGATATTTCTCTAAGGGAAAAAGTAGAATCAATTCTCAATTCTTTTCTGCAGGACATCATCTGTGTCTCCATGGGATGCTTATTTTACACAGGGACCTCAAGGCATGCCAGCATATAGTGACTAATTATTGTGCAAACAGCTGATATTTAAAGGAGGAGTAAAAACTTGCATTCACACAGCTTGATGGGAGATTCTGTCCACGCAGGAATCTCACAACATCAAAATCCAAAATGAAATTAATAAAATGAAACACAAAACAGTGCAGAAAGGAACCAAGGACAGGTGGTCCAGGGGGAATACAGGGAAAATGTCCAAGCAGCCAGGGAACAGATCCTGAAGGAATCCCAGAGGTTCCACCACTATGGCTCATGGACTCAGCCTTGGCTCTGGGCAGCACCAGCCCTGATGGACACAGGGGAAGCTTCTGGCAGCTTCTCACAAAATCCACCCCTGCAGCCCCTTGCTACCAAAACCTGGCCACACAAACCCAGTAGAAATTCACTGGCTTTGTTTCATAAAGCAGACCATTGCTACACACTGAATGATAACAGCAAAGCCAAACACTGGTTTCCCACATTCCTCATTTTCCAGTTAGGCTTCTAACTAAGATTGCTCAGCTCTTTTGGCAGCTTGTTCAGCTTTTAGCAGTGTCCACCACAGGTCATGGGAATCTGTTTCTACAGTTTCCCACTGTAAAGAAAGGTCTGCTATGGTGAAGCTGCCCTTGTGCCTTTTGAACAATCTGTGGGATCATCACTGTTACTAAAACTGTCAAGTCTTAAGTCAAATGAAAAAATATCATGGCATTAAGGACAAAAAATAAACAAACACAAGAAACTCCAAGATAATGCTGAAAAACTACATGTCTACCAGAAAAAAAAAATCAGCATTTTTTAGACATGCACAGATGTGCAAAATGAAAATTAAATTAGACAGCCAAGTGCAAAGCTTATGCTGAGAAAACAGAGAACTTAAGTCTTAAACAGCGTACATATAGACGCAGTTGAAGCTGAGTTGAGTGTCCCTCTAGGCTTCAGTGCAAATTGAATAGACGTTGATGGATTTGTTTTCCTTCCAGATTAAATTGAACTTTTGATTTGGAAGTAGTTTACCTGCTCCTGTACTTGAAAGCTACATTTTTTCTTAACTAATTTTCTCTTGTTAAGGTACTTTAGTTTTATAGTGGTTTATAGTGGTTTACAAATTGACACTGTAATCATCTGGAAGGAGCAGGGAAAGAAAATCATATAAATTATACTTTTCTGCATTGCTTTACCCTCACAGTGGCCTGTTCTGTTTTTAAGAAGCCCATTTTGTGCTGTTATGCTTTTAAATACACTTGAACTGATTTCTAAAGTCAGACATCACAGCTTGCACAAAGTACAATTCTTTCTGCACCATTTTAAGGTGCTGCTGCAGCACATAATAATGTAAATAACATAAATAATTGTTCTATTCTCAAAATGTGTTGGTATTCACTATCAGCCTAGAGCTTCTTGCTGTGCAAACTGTAGAGAATTTATAATTTTTGCTCTTCTAGCCCTTGCAGAGGTCTCAGACCTGTTCTTACATCTGTTCTGCCTATTCTGGGGCTTTGGCATCTTTCCATCCCAGCTCTGGGTTATCTCACTCAGCATGATTCAAGGAAACATCTATCTCTGCCCTGAATCAAGATCATGTCCTGTCTTGTGGGAATGCCCTGTGGTTGGGTTCAATGTCTAACATGTCCCATCTATTCTGTGACAGCATCATGGGATTAAATCGGCAGGCAGGAGTGAATTTTTCCAACAGTGGCTTCAGTGTTGCTTACCCAAAGGGCTGAGAGGTCTCCAAATGCTTCCAGTGCAACCTCTGTGTGTGGTGAGCAGTCTCTGGAGGCCTCATGTCTAGCCTGATCTTGCCTAGTTTAGGCTGGGTAGCAGAAAACCATACTGCATCCCAGGAAACATATGTTTTGAAAAGAGAAAATTTGTGCTTGTTTTATCATTATTATTTGAGAAGTGACATCAAGGAATTCCAGCCAGGACTGAGATGGTGTTTAGACACATTGTGAGCTATATTCCTTTCTAGGAAAGGAAAAAAAATGCTTCCCAATCTAAATTCAAAAGTAGAGAAATAATTATTAAATCCTACTGGCATGCAGAGCAACAGAGAGAGCTTGTTTGGCGTAGCTGTAATCATACATTGGGTCTGTGGGAGAGCTGAAGATCAGAATTTCCAACCCCATTTTAGTTGTCATACCACAGATACTAAGCATCAGTATTATCAAACTAAATATTAAGACCCTACTTGCTCTGCTGAGTAGTTTGGTGACTGACTGTGTTGAGAATATGGTCCTAATTTACAGGTGATTGGACCATATATAGGCTGGTTGGACCAACATTCAGGAGCACTATGAATTGTAATTGTACCTTAACCTTTCAGGAAGGCCACCAGATTGCCTGTGTTTTGCACAGAGATTTTCTTTGCTATGTGGTATTTAGAATATCTATCTGTTCCAGGGAAATACCAGTCAGTAGGTTTTCTTCTTCATGCACAGATTAATCTCTTAACATCAAAAATTAATGACTTATGTTCAATATGAAGAGAAAAAAATGCTTTGTTTACCAGAGCATCCTGCCACAATCCCTCCCATGTCTTTCTTTTCAGTTGTTTTCCTCAGGATAAAGGGAAGTGAAGGTGAAAAAAGAATCCTGAGGTAACCCACTATGGACTTTGAAGTATTAAAAATAAGTTAAAGAAAGAAAGTAACATAGGAGTTGTGGGTGTATGAGAATTGGTTGCTGTTTCTTGTCTGTCTGCTAAGGAGTATCAAAAACAGAGGCAGAAATTTTTCATTCCCCTTGTTGTGTTACTGAGCACCTTAAAAGGTTACAGATTTGCCCACAAAATTCAGGGTCCTCCTAGAAATCTCCCTTTGCTTATTTCATTTTCATATGCACAGAGATAAGGAAGACAGGAACATAAACTGCTTCTTGAAATATGGATTACAAAGTAAATTATTTCCTGCTGCATCAGATGCCCGGGAGCCAGACGTTCAGTCCAGGTGAAATAAGCGCTTGTGCTGTCTGCACTTGAGCTCTGATGGTTGAGACAAACCAAGCATCTTTCACTGTGCATGACATTCTCTCACAGAAAAGAATGTCTCCTTGTACAGATGAAGAGGCAACTAGAGCTTGAGAGAGACATGAAACAGAATCCTTAAGGATGATTGGATTATCATGGTCTTTTCAGAGTGAGAGTTGCTGCAGAAGCATCTATCTCCAGTGGCAGGATTTAGGCAGATATTTGTTCCCAAATCCAGCCTTGCTACTCAAGCCACCAAATAATTTTCAGCTTGTAGCAATTTTTTGGATTTAACTAAAGGTCAGAAGGTGGATATAAGAGTCTAAGTTAGACTTTACAAATAATTCAACATCTACACTGGAGTGTAGAAATTATTACAGTCAAAGCCGCAGCAAGCAGAGATGAGAAGCCTTAGTGGTATTTTGCTGCATTTGCAGGACAAAATTTATAGCTAGAATTGGTATCCTTATCAGAAGGAGTTTAGTTTTACATCCAAAGCATTAGACTGAAAAGTATATCTCAACTTTTGGTCTTCCATGACATAGAAGAAGTCTTGTTTTCCTCTGTTCAAAAGA